TCACCACATAATAACCCTGGGGCCTCTGAATACGTATATGTTTAAACTATACTTCCTTGTATCTTAACCATCCATAAAAAAAGACACGAATGTACATTTAAAATGGGAGGGGGAGGGGGGTGATAGCCCCCTCCCTCACTCACCTCAGGCGTCTAAGGAAATTCATACAGGAGTGTTCTAAAGCATTCATAACAAACTATAGATAGTTTGATTTTAAAATAGAATTTTAGGTGCAGTTGATTTTTGAGCAGGTTTATATTCACCTGTTCTTTATATAAACTATGTAAGGATTGTCAATCCTCAATGTTCAAACATTCCATACATGAGTCACATGGTTGACCAGTATGAAATAAACAAAGTACAAAACAAAAGAAAAAAAATGTCTTGATTTAAAAATAATGTTAACTTTGAAAATATAGAATCGCTCATATTGAAATCATTTTATAATAATAAATTCGAATCGTTTCATTTAGCTACATTGTAAACTCACCCGCTTGCTTCCGTTTTCAGCCGATAGAACAGATGTCTTCTTTTTAAAAAACAATCACTGCAAGTCCTGCTCGAGCGCACTCCTTGTATTCAACGAAGTGCAGCTAATTGGAATTTGAGGCATTACGTAACCGTGTCTACAACCCTGTGCCAAAGACATTTAAGTTATTATTTCAGTTTTAAACTGTATTATAACTGACAATTGTGAGTTACCCTTCTTTGTGTGGAAAATGATTCGTCGCTTTGATAAAGGGATTGAACCTGACGAAAATTGTTGAGAATTTTTTTTCTCTCATGAGATTATTGAATTGTTCGTCATTCAAAAAAATAAATTTTAGAATAAGAAGACGAATATAAAGACATTGGACGTGTTAAACCTCTTTCCAGACAGCAAAATTTCCAAATGTGATGGATGTTCACCTCTCTCTCTCTCTCTCTCTCTCTCTCTCAACCTGTTTCTAGACAGAAAAAATACAAGAACCGATAGATATTATATGACCCTCAACCCCCAGTCTTAATGCAAGAAAGAGAAAAAACGCAACACAATCTCAACATCTTCATTCTTGTAACGAATTTAGATCTATAACTGGAATAGAGGGAAAATATCTACCATTTTCCCACCAAACCTCAAATAGGAAACTGAATTGTAAAAAAAATCTTCCGATGTTTACAAAGTAAAAACAGCAATTTTTCAGGAATAATTGGAACCCCGGGAGTGAACAATCTGTGCTTCGTGCGTAATTATAAAAAAAATTATCTGCTACAACATGTAAATGTATGTTTAAGGTGTCTTTTTCTGTTCTTGCTAAAATTTGACCCCCCTCCAAGAGTGAACTTACGAAAACTAGATTTCGGTGATTGATGTTACCAGGTACAATTTAGTTTAAAAGAGGAACTACGTACAGCTGTACTGTTCAATACACTATCAATACGCAATGCATTTTGGCTTTCTAATTAATAAGAATTGCTTTAATTTTTTTTTTACTATCACCACTTGACAAATAGCTAGTTGATAGTAGATAGTTGAAGAACACCTTGGTATATTTAATTTCGTTCACCGCCGATATCCGAAGTTATCTCTCTTTTGCTATTTTGCCAATGGGGAGAGATTTGAAGTTAATATTTTTCTAATGATTTATATGTTGCTATACAGCATTTCAAACGATCGAAAATATAATGCAAATTTACTTTAACTGGAAATTATTGAAACAACGATTTGCGGGACGCGTTTGATTGACAAAATCCTTGCAATTTAATAAAGTAAACTTTTTCCTCTCTATTTACGAAAAGCAGAAATTTTGTTGTGTTTTAATGAAAAATATAAAAACAATCATCCAGAAAATTCAGATCAGAAATGTGAGAAAGCAAAACCAACTCACCAGTTTTGTCAGTAAAATGCCTAGTGATTTGTGCATAGTTTAATTAACAAATTGAACACACCCTGATTACTTAGTTCATGTTTCACCAGTTGTGTTCAGTTTGTTAAGCTACATGTATGGCACGCCAAATTCACAAAAATAAGATAATCATAGTTTCACAATTGATAAACTAGGTTTATCGACTGTAAACTATAGTTTACAAACCGTAAACTATAGTTAATGATTCGTTAAGTATAGTTTTCATCTGTAAAACTATATTTAACGGTTGTTAAGTATAGTTTACGAATGTTAATTTAAGTTTGTCTGTAATAAAGCGTTAACAATAGATTTTGTTGATAAACATAGATTCACGTTTGTAAAAAATAGTTTACAAAAAATCGTTAACTATAGTTAAGACGGAGTTGTAAACTGTACTTTACAAATTGTGAAACTATATTTATCATATCGTTAACTATAGTTTACGGTTTGTAAACTATAGTTTACAAATCGTGAAACTGTATTTATCAGATAATCTATGTTTTGCAATCGCAAATGATTGTTTTCGGTGTTAAGTATAGTTTACGGTTGTGAAACATAGATTATCGCGTTAACTATGGTTTACAGATGTGAAATATAGATTAACGTTGTTAACTATAGTTTACGGTTTGTAAACTATAGTTTACAACCGATAAACCTAGTTTATCGATTGTGAAACTATGATTATCTCATTTTTGTGAAATTGGCGTGCCATATGCTGATGACACTGTTTTATTTGCTGAAAACCCTGAGTCATTACAAAATATGTTGAATTGTTTTCATGAATATTGTATAAAATGGCGGTTAAAAGTGAATGTTGACAAAACAAAAATAATGACTTTTGGAAGAGGTCGAATAAAACAAGATTTATATTTTACATATGATGGTTTAAGAACTAGAGATTGTTGATAGTTATAAGTACTTAGGAATATATTTTTCAAAATATATTTTTTCAGGTTCTTTTAATCAAAATATAAAAGAACAATACAATAAATCTGTAAAAGCTATGTATGGAGTGATATCAAAATGTAAACAACATAATCTTTCTATGGATTGTCAGATAGATTTGTTTGACAGAATTGTACAACCAGTTTTGTTATATGGATGTGAAATATGGGGATTTACAAAAAATACTTTAATCGAAAAACTTCACTTAAAATATTGTAAATATATACTAGGTTTGAACACTAAAAAATTACGCCAAACTACATGGTGTATGGGGAACTTGGCAGATCATAAACTAGGCCACTTATCATTAATATTAAGGTGAGAATGATTTCTTTTTGGGCAAAACTACATTTTTTCAAACGATGGATAAATTTGCTACAAAAATGTATGTTCTAGCTTCAAGGCATAATTTGCCTTGGGTTAACTATGTTAAAACTATTTTAGATGATTGTGGATTATCTTATTTATGGACAACACAACAAATGTACAATGTAGCATGGGTAAAAAATGAAGTAAAAAGAATACTTGTTGACCAAAATATCCAAAACTGGCAAAGTAATGTTTTTAACTCATCAAAGGGTGTAAATTATCGTATTTATAAAGAAATACTAAAACCAGAAAGATATCTCGTTAATCTACCTAGAAAATTTTCAATTTTATTATGTAAATTTAGATGTAGCAACTTTAAACTCCCTATTGAAACTGGGAGATGGTTTGGTATTCCAAGAGAACAAAGAATTTGTACTTTATGTGATTTTCATAAGATTGGTGATGAATTCCATTATGTCTTTGAATGCACACAAAAAGAAATTAAAGAGGCTAGGTTAAAATATATTTCAAACTCTTTTACATGTAGACCAAATATAGAGAAATTTAAACAACTTTTCACAACAACAAATTGTTCAGCATTGAAAAAATTATGTAAATTTTTATTGATTGTCAAACAAATTATAGATAAAAATAATTGACATGAACTTGAACATGATACTTTGTACTGTTTATAATGCATGTATTATATTTTTTGTATTGTGTTTGTACATTTTCCTACCTCCTCTCTACAATGTATGTTTGTACATTTAAGAGAATAAATCATTGTCATTGTCATTGTCATTGTCATTGTCATTGTCAAAAAAAAAAAAAAAAATATACATGCACACATCACTGAACACGGACTGACAAAACTGGTGAGTTGGTTTTGCTTTCTCACATTTCACCTCTGAATTTTAGTTTTATTATTTTTCATTAATACACAACAAAATATAAACTTTTCTTAGGTATAAAGTTTACTTTGTGAAATTGCAAAGATGTGTCAATTAATCACGTTTCAAAATTCAATAGTTTCATTAATTTCCAGATAAAAATAATTTTTTATGATATTTTTAAATGAAATGCTTTTTATATCAACATATCAATCATTATATTTAAATACAGAGAACTTTAGAAAACATTAACTTCAAATCTGTGTCTAATTCCTTAAAGTATACCCCATTTCATGCATAAATAGGGGATGGCAAGACCATCCCAGCTTTTTCAGAGCTAATAAATATATTTCATACACTATTATAAAAAGACTTTAGTGATCCTCGCCCCTCACCCAAAACACTGACCCCCTTTTCATGCCTCATTTGCAAGAAAAAAAAAGCATAAAATGAAATCAAGCAGTCTATTAAAAATGTGCTTGCTAATTTACAAGATCAGGTGAATGAGGTTTTTTTTCTTTTGCCATCATATCAAGCATTGAACTCATGTATCTGTCAAGTAAAACTCATGCAGATCTTATTTGTATCATGTTTCCTCTGTATAGTATACTTCATTATATATATATATAATAACTGTATTTATCTTTCATAATGAACACTGGACAGTTAACAAAGCAAATCAAAAGATTTCAACCTACAGAGTTCAAGGCATTCACTGAGTATTGTACATCAGATTCTGTGAAATCAGATTCTCTTTCTTGAAGTATATATGTATCTCTATAATTTTTTTTTTTTTCAGAAATCCATCACTTTCAAATTTCTTTTCCGACATCTTCATTGCCGACTTCCATGAATTTATCACAAAACATACTTTATCATTTGTCACAAAGCAGATAAACTGGGACCAATCTTGAGGCATTTCCATCCAGTATGTTGTCAAATGTCAGAAAATAAAGATAAAACAAAGTAATACAGATAATATCAAACTTTATTATCATTTTTTTAAAACTCACTTGAACAATTCATGTAGACAATACCTATTTTTTTTTTAAAGTTTGGAAACTGTTAGATCAAGCCATGAAATCAAGAAAAAAAAAACCTCTCTACAAATGTTTTGTCACGGAGTCGTTAATAAAAAGCACACACACCAGAGTGAGTTATTTTGATGTATCTGCTGACGATATAATACTGTTGATGTAATCACATTTTCTCCTGTAGGGAAAATTTTTTTGATCAGCAGTTGAAAAATTGAGATGATAAACATCACATAACAGTTAAATACACAAAATACTTAGAGAGATGAAATTCACTAAAATTAACAACACAAATAAGAGAAGAAAGAAAAAAAGATTATCACAACTTAAGTGGATGGTTAATTAATGCTCAACCTTGGAGGCAGAGTAACATTCATATATTGTTAGTGAAGTATGAAATAATCTATTGGTGTATGTTTTTAATTTTTTGTTCAGATAAAATCACAATTATTTGGTGTTTCCATTTTAACAGATATTCATACTCATATTCTAAAATAGCAACTATTTTTTTCAATTCTGCATCATAGTTTTCATCATTACATTTCATGGGGTTGGGAGGAAAAAAGACTTAAAATGTTGCATTTCACAAACAAATAACAATTTAAGCCATTCTTTATCACTGAGTATTTGGTGTAAATAAAAACAGCATGAATGAACTGGTGATCTAAATTTTAAAAAATTAATACTAAAAATGCATCACATAAAAATGAAAATCAACAAAAATAAATTTCAATACTGTAAATATCACATGCATTTTTCTCTATACCATGCGTAACAATGAAATACTGACACACAAACAAATTCATGTGGCTTTTGTTCAAACACTCGCAATCACATTTGGCTTCTAACATGGAGAAAAAAAAAATCTGTACATAAATTAATGAAATAATAAAAATGTAAAAAACAAAAATAAGAAGTTATATTACTAATTCTAGTAACAATCTCCTCTAAGCAGCACGATATCAATCACCATGGGTAGGTAATGTACAGGTCAATAGAGGAATGTATATAAACTCTCATTTATTTATACAAAAATAAAAACAACAAAGAATTTATCACAGTTTGGTTCTTTTTTTTAAAACTAGAGGTTGGGACTAACAGTCTCTAATATAATAGCACTCTAAGATGTAACAATATCATCAAGTTATAACATTTTTTTTTTCATAACATAATGCTTAAGGTGTCAAAATTAAAATACCTTCTTAAAATCATGTGACATCTTTAGCAAGTACATGTATAATTTACTACCTCTATTTACAAATAAATTCTTCTTCACCACTCTTTGAAATGTTCAAGATGTATTCCTCAAATTAAAAAAAATGCAAAAATGTCAATAAATTCGCACACTTGACAATATTACATAATTATCAGTTTCGTATGATAAATTAGTATACATATGGAGCAGATTTTTTGTTCTCTCTCTGGTGAAGAATCCAACAACCATAACAATTAAAACCCAACAAGTCCTCGCTGAGATACACCATTACAGTTTCCCCCTGGTGGCCTCGGCTTCAATTATTTTTAGCTCAGTTTTTGGCACTCACATTCACACAGTTATTTATACTGTCCACTTCACACCTCCCAGTCCAAGATGTCGTACGCCTTCAGACTGGCCAACACAATGTAGATCACCCACATTAGGAATAAGATCAAGCTGGACCCCCACTTGATAATGGGGTTCTTGCCTCCGAGTTCTCCCCCAACAAACTGTAAATTCATGAAATTATACATAAAATACCACCAACCACACTGTAAACATACTTTTTTCCCACAGGATCATAGCCACTGAGTGTATTCAAGTGTTCTGTTCAAACTGTGGGAAAATAATAAAGTGGATTTTTTTTTTTTTGTATTTCCACTGGTTGCCCTATTTGGATTTTAAGCCTTATTTGTGACTTCGTATAGAATGTAATTCAATCCCACATGGAATAAAGTATGTCTACAGTACATAATACTGTAGATCACTATATTTTCGCGACACCTTATTTTCCCAAGATAATCATCGACTCTTGATAAGCGAGACAAAATTTTCACGAATTGTGGTTCTTGCTCTATATTATCCTAAGAAATACTATTATACGCGAGAATTAAATTTTCGCGAGTGCACTCTCTCGCGTAATTACGTGAAAATAAAGTTCTCGTGAATAAAAAGTGATTTACAGTATATGAAAAATCTTAAAGATAATGTTAATTGATTCTATTAAAAGGAAAAATAATTTTCAATTTTTTTCAGTATAATCTATTGGAACAACAAGCTATTCAATCCAAAAATTGATTACCGTACCCATCAATGCCATGAGAAATTGCTGTCTTACCTTTCTCCTTAAAACAAGGATGACAATACATAGAGCTCCTAATGTAGAAAAGATGATGACACTCTGAGTTAAGTTGCCAGTGGGCACTTTATATGTGGTTCCAGTGGCGTAAGCATACATAGTACTCAGAACCCAGGGTAGTCCCAGACCAAGGAATACATTCACACTGTTACTACCTAAAAAAAACATTGACATTATGGCTGAGTTATTATGACAGATGGCTATTCTGTTCAGTAAAAAAAAGATTAAAAAAACCCAAATTTAACAGCTATTGAGACTGTAAATGTGAAAATTAGGTAATATATAATTACTCTAAATAAGCAATACAAAAGCTTAAGTAAATATCCCCATACCAATGCATTTACAACATATATGGTTTCTTTTATGTGATGCAGTGTACCTGTTACATTTCCAATGGCAGCATCGGCATGTTCATCCTGAATGGCTGCCGTCCGACTGGCGAATGTATCTGGTAAACTGGTTCCCAAAGCGATGATTGTTATACCTGCTACGCTAGTCTTTAGACCCACTACACAACCAAGCAAATGCCCCAACTGCCAAAGAAAATAAATACAGTACACCTGATGTATTCAAATGTGTGAAATCTTACGGAAAAACACATCATAGCAATTTCAATGCTTCAATTTTCTTCATAGTTTGTTACATGCATCTTTCTATAAGTTTTTAAATGACCTACCTGTTCTATAACTAATGTGAGTAATGCGATGTATACCAGAGAAAACACAAATGCTGGCCAAGCACCTAACAATGTCCTACAATAATAAAAAAAAAACATGAAAGGACCACAGACTAACTCTCAAATTATTTACATGCACTTTTCTGTTTCTTTAGCTTTAAAAAGAAATTAACCTGATTTTTCTGCTTTCAGTTAGATTTTTGAGATAATTTAATTGTTCTACACAAATAGAAGCACCAAAATATCCCCATTGTTCTGTTAATATAGCTTTATGGCTTACGTTGGTGGCACCATTGCTCCTAAAAGTTTCCAGAAGAAGGTGAGGAAGTGAAGTAAATAGTCCATAAATGTTGGAGGAATGTCATTTCCGTCGTCATCCTGACCCCCCTCTATAGACATGGCACTGGAAAAGAGAAATTGTCAGATGAAGTAGGTTCACTGATTCAACATTGATATCTTACTCATGCAAGACTCAGTCAAACCACACTGATCACTAGTATCTTTCAAATTTGAATATTCTTGCCCTTCTTTCTCAGAAATTACTTGACTCACAATTGTAGTTCTCTTCTGTAATACCATTGAATTACATCTATAGAATGCATAGCAACAAAAAATAATTTGTGCGATACGCATTATTGGTATATATATGTACAGATTTCTTCATCTATCCTGCGATATATACAGTTAAACTTTGGTATCTCATAAATTGATATCCCCACCAGCATGGATATCTCATAGTGATTTGGAAGTCCTGAGTTTATCCATTTTAAACTCACATCTTAAATCCTAAGTTACCCCCGTTTTTATTGTCCAAATTGAGTTTGAAATAACAAGGGTTTCATTGTATTGACTTCTTGAATGCCCTGCCCATGTTACTGTATTGACTTACTTCTTGAACTGCCCCGCCCATGTGGCCGTATTGACTTACTTCTTGACCTGCCCTGCCCATGTTGACTGTATTGAATTTTTTCTTGAACTGCCCTGCCTACATGATATATTGACTTACTTCTTGAACCCCCAGCCCATGTGACGGTATTGACTTACTTCTTGAACTGCCCTGCCCATGAGACTGTATTGACTTACTTCTTGAAGTCCCTGCCCATGTGACTGCATGGACTTACTTCTTGAACTGCCCTGCCCACATGACTGTATTGACTTACTTGCACATGTGACTATATTGACTTACTTTTTGAACTGCCCCGCCCATGTGACTGGTTCTTCCTCCTCCTCCTCTTTGATAACCTCTGCGATACGGTCCTCTATGGACTCTACAACAGCAAGCAAATCATAAGATTTTCATTGAATGCTCCCTTATCATATAAGAGTGCAAAAATCCATTTCTTAATGTTATTAAAGTCATTCCACAATTTTGATTCAGTTGTTCATATTTACCTTTATTTATATGACAGACTACAGCACTTCTGTGGCCTATTTTTGCACCCAGACTTGGATTTTTTAGAGCAATAACAAAGTTTTTAGATCCCTGAAGAAAAGAAAAGTGAATTACGTAAAGGTATATTTATGCATAAAGAATTCATGGACATTTACAATGACATATTAAAATATATGTCCTGTGTAATGTGTTGCCAATAAAAGGAATTATGAATAAAGCAGCAAAAGAAATTCAAATAACTATCCATATAATTTATATAATATGAAGGATTCTTTGTAATAGCATTAACAATTTTGGCATATGTATAGAACTGGCTTTATTCTCAGAGGAGAAAGCAAAAAGTATATAGGTTTTGGAGAACATATTTAATAAAAAGATATCACATGCAAGTCTTTTCCTTGGACTCTCCATAAACCTGAACAGTTTGTATTAGCTTCTTTTTTTTATTATTATATATTGATTTTTCGACCTTTTTTCAGCTTCAATTTGAATGTGATTCCTATGAGAACAAGTAAATCATTTAACAGAACTTTAATTGATTTGATGAAAATAGGAACATCAGTAAAAAAAATTATAACAAGCAACTATCTCTGTTGACTCTCGATATTCCACCTTTTTGAAGCACTGGTCCCATTTATCCTCCATTTTTTATGCATATAAAAATTTCATTTGGTAAATTATCAATATATAAACTACAGTAGCTAGGAAGATCAAATATTGTAGATCTACGATTTTGAAACAAGTATGTCTAATTAGACTAGTTTGTCATAAAATACACTAAAAAAATGAAAATGTCATGGAAATACAATTTATTTATGATTAATCAAATTCAGCAAAAATGCAACACTTTGTCTATCCTGCTTCAAATACTGTATTTATTGCTAGTAATTGGTTTTTTTCCAGTTAAAATCATCAAAACTGTACTACACGTATGCTATAAGTGCTAGTATTAATCAGATTGCTTTATATGTTAATTCTGCAAACCACTTTTTATTTACTACTTTTATTATATAGCACAAATTAATTTTCTTGCAAAAATAAGGTGTGAAAATTTGGTGATTTACAGTAGTCTAAAGTGATAAATTTAATTGATATTAGCTTCAAAATGTTATATCTCAGTTTAGGATTTCAGTGCTTAAATTGACATCCAAAACACCACTTACATGTGGTAGAGGGCAGTGTTATATTGAGGGACAACATGCTTGTAATCTTGTTGATTTTTCAAAAATACACTGTGTGTTAAAATTAATTACAAGACAAATGGGGACAGTGCATAAAAAGGCGATATTAGGGGTAATCTTTGAAGAACAACTAAAATTGACTTTAAAAGCAATCAAAAATATTTACCATACTTGGTAGATACTAAAATAATAAAGTTTACAGAAATTGCAAATAATTGGTTTTTAATTATTTATCTAGGAAGCCTAAAGGTACATGTACATGCTATATGGCATAAATATGTGAGAATATTTTGTGGTAATTTTTCATGCTGCTACTCAACTTACTGGATTTTTGTACCACTACAAATTATTTTTATAAATGAAAAAGTAAAACTACCAATAAATTAACATGCTGAATATTATATTCTTTTACTGGAAGCAAAAAACCCAATGTTTAAAACAATACATCAGATACAACATTACAGATATATAGCTATGATATCAGGATCACCATTTTTACACTTTGATCTAGTGATATGAACCCCGTACCTTGGCCTCTTTATTGATTTTGACCTCTATTGTTTTGCTGGTTTCTTGGTGTTTAAATTCTAGAGTGCCTGATGCCTGAATGTAGTCCACATCTTTGGAAATACTAGTCCCGCCTACTGCTGTGCCATCACTGCAAAAAAAAAAAAAAATGAATGTGTACAAGAACAAATTATATACCACAGAATACTTGTATGGCAATTTAGTAAAGGTCTTTTCAAAATCACTATTTGTTACTTGACATCTGTGTATATACAGCTCATTATATAAATATGTATTAAAACAAATCATCCTGAAATATGAACTCAATAATTTCAGGATCAGAAGTACATGTACCATCTCTATTAATTAGTTATCAAAGCATACAAATCAAATAGTGAAATCTTACATGGTGGAGTATTCCATTGTGACTTTGCCATCTACACCATACTCTCTTAGAACCGTGACCTTTACTTTCCCAGAGGACAAATCAGCATAGACGTGTGGACTCTCAAACTGAAATTCTCCAGGTTCTACAAAAATGGGTATAGATTAATTCTAAAATTATGATTTAAAAATAGGGAGTAAATCTCATTTGTGGACAATTTTTTTTTTCAAAAAGAATTTGATGATTTGGCAATGTACACTCTATGGTTGCAATGAACATCCCTAAACTGTACAACTATGCACGTATCACTTACAATTCATTAGTTCAAACTTTTATGGACTTCAGCCATTGGTGACAAAAGATTTTCCTAATCAAGATAGAAAACAACCTACCATCGTCATCCACAATGGTGACTCTGGTCACACTAGGATCTCCCAGTGATGTGCCGTTTGTCGCATTTTTGAGAATCACGTAAAAATCGCAATCGTTCTCAAATTGGTTGTCATTGATGATATCAAGAGTGATACTCTGTCTGTATTCTGTGTCCTTGAAAGTCTAAAACAGAAAAAACATGGTCATTAATGATCAGAAAAATTTCTCGTTAATAATTGCATTAATTATGTTCCAGATGTTTATTATGGCTATGCATAGAGCCACAATCTTGAGCAATGTTAGCCTAGCTGCTACATAGGGAAAAGCTAGCATTAGTGGAATATGATAGCCAATATTTATGCTAGCCAAGACAAAAAAGCAGGGAGCTCATTAAAATTGGAATAGACTCACCATAAACAATCGTAGCAAGACCCCTGCTTTAATTGCAAAGTTAAACTATTTGCACTTTGAAACCTTCTTGAAACTTTCCAAGTGGAATATGAAACACTTGTAAACATTATCAAATTTAAAGTATTCTTTTTTTTAAATTTCAACATTTTTTTTCTAAAATGCTTGCTGCTCTTGATGGATACTCACCAAGGTACCATTTCTGTATTTGAAATCTTTGCCAGCCTTTCCAGAGCCCTCCCTGGTCTCAAATTCCACAGTGACTGTCCCTTCAAAGACCTGCTCCATGTTGTTTTTGCTTGCAGGGTTGGCAGTGGCAGGGATTGATGTTGGTTGTGTAGAACCATTCTTAAATGCAACAGTGTCTCCATTCTGTCAGAAATCAGTAACAATATACAGTAAAACTTGGATATATATATACAGAACTCAGTTATAAGGGAATGTTACTTACTGGCCATGGTAAAGAGACTCGTGAATCTAGCTTAGAACATTTTGCAGGGTTCGACACTAACAGTGGACCGGTGGCCTGAGTCCACCAAAAAATTGGAAGGTCCACCAAATGTTCTGAACTAGGTGGACCCTTAGTCCACTTCAAAGTTAAACACTGTAAAAAAACAGTGAAATTCTGGGGGGTTTTCTTTAAATCGGCATTATATAGTTCCTCAATACCTGCATTTTGCAAGAAATAAATATAAAATGTGTCCTAGGTAATCAAGGGAACCTAGCGACGAGATATATTTTGCATGTAATTTGATGACTACAATATTAACAATAACATTGAGACGCAAGAACATTCAATACGGACCGTGAAAGAGAAGTATGTAAAACTCATGCCCAAATTAGTCAGTACATAAGTTAGTTTCAAGCCCCGTGTAATGACTCGTTCATTAATTCAAATATTTATGAAGGTCCACCAAAATTTGAGAAGGTCCACCAGTAATTTCTGACGAGTGGACCAGTGGTCCACCAAGATAAAAAAGTTAGTGTCAAACCCTGTTTTGCATTGTCTCTTATACAGATTTAGAGCATCTAGGTTTAAGGGAAGCTAAAATTCAAGGTCCAAGTCAGGCAAAGTGACTTATTTCAATATAACTGAGTTTTACGGTATAAATAAGGATTTAGATAAATCTTTGTAGCAATAAATACATCTTTTATTTTATGAATTAAATATTTGCTTTCTCCTTAAATGTTTTTCATGCTGTACAGTCCATTTTCAACTACTCACCATAATCTGTGCTTTCATGCCAGCTTTCCTGTTTATGTAAAGAAAGGAGACTTTATTTGTAATAGTACAGATTTCAGAATTAATCTAAAAAAATGCTTTTTTAATATTGACATTTGTTTTCTGATCATTTAAAGCTGAAAAAAAAAACTGCAATCCATTTTATTTATCCAATTCCAAAGAATTCCTAGCATTATCTACTTGAATTATACACAAAACAACATATGGGGCAATATAACAAAATCAAGGACTTGCAAGGAATTTACAAGTTCTCCTTCCTATGTGTTAAAAAAATGCAGAATGTCAAATTGTAAACATTGTGGTTCTCCACAATGTATACAAGATCTTAATCCTCCCAGAAACTGTTGTTTCAGACTTCCACAATTATTTGCATAATGCACCTTTTCTGTTTATATGCTTACAAAGAAATTAAACAATAAAAGTTTCAGATTTTCCTTAAGGTAATTAACACTTCAACATGATTCAGAAATAAATATGGTCTCTTTTTTCAAACCTCCAACTTCACACTACAAAGCACTGAAGTCTGGAATCATAGGGAGATATTTATACAATAAAGAATTTCACCATCATTGAACATATTTTCTTAACTTGTTGGAATGGAAGAACATGTCCTTGAAAAATAGAAACATTGAAATGTCATGTAAGTAGAGGCAAGAAACTGTGCTTTACATAAGAAGAGGGTTAAGTACAATCACTTACGGCATGTTTCGATGAAAGAGAACATCAATAGTCAGTTTCCCAGCACTCTCCAGAACGGCATATCTGTCAGAGGCAAATGTGAACTTCCCATACAAGTCCCCTAGAAAACCAACAGGAAATCTAAGTAGCATTTTCTTTCTTTGTAAAATCAGTTTTTCATATGTTGACACATTTTTTAACTTGGAAACATAATAAGACACTATAAGCAAACCATTTTATTGTCTAGTCTATAATTCTACACAGGAAAATTCATTTCAGAAGTTCTTATATAATTCATTAAATACTTCAAATATTTCAATGCTTCAGAACTTGTTAAATAAAAGTGAAAAGGCATTTAATAATCTCAATTTTTGGGATTTCATAAAACTTAAGAAAGCATGTAGACATGTACATAAATTACAGCAATCATCTTATCCAAATAACAAGAACAAGATATATATCATATACAGTGAAACTTGTCTTGTCCAGATATTGTGTATTCCAAAATCTTGCCCAATATGATGTTTACAATTTTTTTTAATTCCTTTAAATAAATTCAATTGTTTAAAGTGTTGTCCAACCCAGAATGTTTTCTAATCCAGCCAATTTGTTGGACTCTTTGGTGTTAAGATTAGATAAGTTTCACTGTACTGTCTGCTTATTGTGAAGACATATCTTGTTCCCAAGGATTTCCCAATGAAAATTAAATGTAATAGAGACTAACCTGCAGGCATTTTTCCCTCTTTGCTAGCCTGGTTGATGCTCTGGACTTGTTTGACCAATTCAGCAAACCTAGCAGACTTGTGGCCACTACCGACCCTCTTTTTGGTACCGGTCATTGCACTGACCACTGCATGCCGGAATCTACAAAATTGATTCTCAGAATATCATTTCAAATTCTGACCAATCGTGGTTCTCTTTTGAACAATTATGTATTAGTAAAATAGAGTTTTGTTTTATCCAAGATAGAAAGTGACTGCATGTGCAAAAATAAGTTAGATTTACATTTTATATGCATAAAGGAGAGGATGATTATTTAAGATTAATTGAAAGACTATTCTGAATATGAAATTATGGATACCACTACAACTCTCTGTATACTACGCAAATAAAAACTAAAAATTGCCAAGATGTCACAGTGGATAGCACTGATCAAGCAGAATCAAATCATTTCACCTAATCATACTTCTAAATTGTCTAATAAATTGATAGAAGCATCAAGGATCCAATTCATCAGTCATGCTAAAGAAAAACGCACATTGTCTTGTGCAGATTCATGACACTGTTAATGGTCTGATAATGTTGTAACTTGAAACAAGGTGAAAATCAGGGCTATTTATTGACAGCTAGCTAGGCTGATTCCAATTACTTTCCATGCTATTTTATATGTCTCAGCTAAGAAAATGTCCTGCCAATTAAAAAAGTCCTCAGGTTGTTCATTACAGAGACAGAAATTAGCCGTATATATAGATAAGTCTAAAGACACATTACTTCCTATCCTGGCACTTATCGTTAACTTGGCAAGGCAATGATTTGATGCTTGCATTACTACTTTATGCTGCAGGGTTGAGGGTTAGAAATTTTTCAAATTATCTTATCTATATAAATAGTCATTTCAAAGATTCTTTTAAATTTTATTTTTCCTAGCTGTTTAACCATTTTTTTCATAGTAGCAATATCTCACCTAACTCTATTAAAAGAAATCTTTCTGTTACGAAATGAAACAAAATAAGCCATATCAGCTAGCAAACTGATATGTCATTTTTAACAATTGAACAGAATACAATGTTAACTTATGTAATAAAAATTAATCAGATATAGATGAAGGAAAATGTATGCATTCCTCCTCGTTGTAACATACCAGTTATCTAACTGCTCTCACTGAAAATTACATACATGTACATGTCGTTTGAGAGTGTTATTATTTTTTTTTTTTTTAAAAAGTAGGTATATGCATTAACTTAGTGATTAAAATAAGTACATGCAAAAAATTGATACTTATCCTATTTCTCAGTGGAAAATGAATAATTTAGCATAATTTGGGTGGACTATCTTCACTTTAAGTAAAGTGAGACATTAATTTAGTGGTTCCTTGTATTTATTTTTTTTCAACAGATTTCTTAAAGTAAAAAATTTGACATTAAATATCATAAAGAGAATACCAAAATAACCGCCCCCTTTTTGCATTTTTCTAAGCGCCCAGGGCGGTTGATAGGGATTATACGGTAATCTGGTACCGCAGCTGAATGTAAACAAACAGGCCAGTCTGGTTCCCTCTCCTGCTTTACCTCATATTGTAGAGAACTGTCACTATATGCCTTACATTTTTATTATGTAGTTTTCAAAGTCATTACTACTAATGTTTATTTTATATAGACAAATTTTATTATCTCAAAAGCGGAAAATTTGTTTAAAATGGCGACGCGTACATAGCGTAATTTAATACCACGCGGAAAAAAGTAGGTATATGCATTAACTTAGTTTGTAAGTACATGCATATGGGTGAATGTGTTCAAGCATGAACATTAATTGAATTACAGTCTACTCCAGTTATACTGAAATTACAATATCATCAAAATTGAAATGTGAAAAAAAATTTAATCTGGATCATTAGCAAGCTATCAAAAAAAAAAAAAAAAACAAACAATCAAACTTAATAAAGACAGTTCATTACTTATATATATTACATATTTTAACTCTTTCCATTAAAAACTTACAGTCAAACCTCAATATCTTGTAATTGATTGGAAAAATATAACAGAATAAAAAAGGTTGAAATTATAGAGATACTGAGGTTGAAATACATGATTGGGAATCTAACAATCATACACATGTACTTTAGTAGACATATTTATCCATGGTGTTTGAGATATTGATGTTTAAGAAACTGAAGTTTAACTATATTTGAATAAGTCAGTAAAGCTTTGTTTGTTTATGCTGATTATTACACTAATTAGGAATGAAATTGTTCAATTTTCCCAAATCTCCCAAAATTTGTAAAGATTGGACAACTTCTGTGGAATTACAAATTACCAAGCAACCTTGAATCACAGCTGCTCAGGGGCACTTCAAGACAACCATTATACAAACAGATTATCAGATGGGAAGGCTGATAATTCCCTTGAAATAGTGATAATTTTATATAAAGAGACTTCAATTTAATCTACACATGTACTTTATTGCAAATGAGAAACTGGGACTGAAGATGAAAATTTTTATTTTCAAAATATATGACAATTTTAAAAATAAGCAATCTCAACATAAATGGAGTAAACTGTAGTACACAAATCAACATTGTATTCACAGTGTGTCTTTATGATACATATACACCATATATACATATGAGACAGTTTGATGTTTTTTATGGTTTCAATGTAGGTGAATAATTCTGTGATAAACTACACGATATTGATAGATATTTTAAATATCAGTACTCATTATAAGGCAGGTTTATTTCCCTTTCAAGTGCTTGCACAGCCTGAAATGATTTCTCATACACTCCTTCAATATAAAATAGAGAACTCAGAGAAACAAAACAACGAAAGTTCAAGGAAGATAAAAGTAAATAATACAAAAAATAATCTCGTGGAAATGAACTACAGCTAGCTGATTTAAAACAGAAACATGCATGCAATCTGCTAGCTCAGTGAAACACTACAGAACTCTGCTAGCAGTAAATGCTATACATGTCTGCTAGCAGTGTCTTAGCTATTGAGTTTTACATACCGGGCTCTGTTCATTATACTGGTGCTGATATTTTTATGATTTCTACACCATAAAACAACAAATTAGTTTTTAAAAATCAACAAAAAAATCATAAGATGGCTAAGTATTTTTGCAAATTAAATGATTAAAAATTGGCAAGTTTCAAGTTCATGCAAAAGCCATTAATTTGACAATCAAAACAATGAGTAATGTTGCTTAATTTCCCCCTTTGCTTTAATTCTCAATATTAATGAGTAGACAATGACATCATAGTTACAAGCTCAAAACAACAATGACTGAAGGAATAAGCTGCAAAGTTCCATGTCGTCTGAATAAAATTAATTCATTTAATATTCATTATGTCGACAAAATTTTCTTCAAAATTAGTTAGCTAGCTAAAGCCTTTAATGAGATTATATCAAATAATTTTTTTATGATTTTGTTATGTATATATATGTTACCCCCCCCCCTCCCCCAGCAAAATTAAAGGAAGGAAAAGCAATTTATATCATACAATTAATCTTAAACGAAACTCTTCAATTTTAAGTCATGTAATTTGCAATCATACTGTTCTACGTACACTATATTATTTAGTTTAAACTTCCCATTTATTTTCGAAAAAATAATAAACATTAAACATTCCTGGTAAATTGTAATTTTTAAACACAATTTTTTTTTTTTATAAATACATGTAATAAAATCATGCAGAATCCTATGTAAAGAAGAACAAAAGATATTAATTAAGTACTACAATGAATATACTGAAAGGACATTTTAAAGGACCACATCAGATTTCTTATTTCCTATAGATATCAGATCACACTGTGATCTACAAACTTTGAAATGCTGCTGAGAGAAGCAACAAATAAATTTTCCTGTGAATACTATACTTATTAACTCTAAGAGTAATACATTATATAAATGCTGAAAAACTATGAATTGTATTTAAAAATTGCCAGTTTAAAAACCGAGGGTATATTTCTGATCCCAGAAATAAACCAAGCATTATTCTCCGATTATCAAGCACTATAGCAGCAAATCCATGCTAAGTAGGTTATTCATAACAAATTAGTGTTAGCAGTGCAAACTGTATACAAGTTAGTATTAATCCTTTTAGACTTGAAATGGTGAATTTATTTTACAATCGAAAGCCGTGAATAAGGAGTGCAATTCTATATCTACACGAAATTCGTATCTGATATAACAAGAAATGAATAGGGTATAGGTAACACAGATTAAAGATATAATCTCCTTGTCAGACATAGTAAAGGGCTGCTCTAATGTGACTTGTCTTAATTACCTGGTGTAAGAGTTTCCTGAACTGTTACAGAAAACCTACTTATATTATGTATACAATAACAATACACAACTCCAAATCATCTATCATAATGCTTAATATTAGTAATGGTGTTACATGTATCTCTATCCCATAGTCTCACTCTTCTATTCAACTATTGCTTTGGAATCTGTACACATACATGTAACTTTGTTATCAAATTTACCAGGCAGTACTTTTATTTCTATGGTAATATCACATCTATCATGTCTATAGTTGCGATAATTAATATAAAGCATCAAATTTTTACAGCATGTTCTACAAATGTGTACTACTTCATGATCCTATTTCAATCCATCTCATAGACAATCTGACCAATTGTGGGATAACACGTACCCAGCGATACCAGACAGCAACAAAAGGCATGCAAAAAGTACTTATACCAAAAACATTAACGTTACAAGTCTGACAAAAAGTACATTATACACATATATAGATATACACATTTAAAGGCTCCATATCCCCCCTCTAACTTAACATTAGGCTGTTTTACCTTGCTCTGGCAAAGGACTGCTGGGGTTCCTTGCTCCCCTTCTCCATCTTGACCAGTCTGTCCTCTGCATTAGATTGATCATGGTCTTTCTCGTGACTGAAAGTACATACATAGACAAAGAATATGAATTTTTTTGAAAAATCAATTCTTTTAATTAAAAAAAAACTTTTTCAATCTCCTTTGCTGAAAAACTTTCAAAAACTTCAAAAGAAACCTAGAAAAATAACATGTGACCTCAACTATTAAATGGATACAATTGATGAATATGGAATAAAACACTTATATGTCAATATAGAAATTTATTTTTTTTCTGAATACTTCAATAAAAATTTGCAAAGAATTGATTTATTGCTATGTACCTTAGTGTTTAAATACATGCAGGATAAATCATAAAGGAACTTGGAAAAATTTTCCTTGTATTTATAGTTTAATTATGGAAGATTATCCAAATTGCAAAGTCAGACCTTGACTCTAATTATTTTGACCAACAAGATCTGTATCCATGTTTGTGACTATATAAGTCTATAAATTTCTAAATCCCTTTAGAAGGGATTTCAATACACCCCTCTGTATATACCAATATATCTGATGATATCAGGGTGTAATGTAATCATCCAGCATTCAGGTCAGTTGTATCTAAAAACAAAACCTTGCCAACTTCTGAAAGGGCACGGTGGGCTTCTTATGCCTCAGTGGGACCGAAGACAGGGGAATAATTACCTCTTGTAAAGAATATCAATTAAATCACAAGACAAAGACCCCAGTGTCCCAAATATTACTGGAATTAATCGTTCTGATTATGGAGAGAGATGGGTATACTTGTTGCAATGGAAGGCCAGGGTCATTGTCTTGCTGGAAATGCAAAATCTGTCACTACTTTGGTCTTCAAACACGCTTTGTTGGTTATCTAAATTTTTAGCACAGCTTTTTTCAAGGCTTACGACATAGTCCACGTCACGAATGCATAGGTTTCAAAGGATGGCATAGATTTTAATGAGATATTATATACCAAAGTAAATGATTTTTCATGAGGTAATTGCTCTGGGGCACGTTTAATGTGACTGCACTTTTAAATAAAAGCTAAGCATTCTTGGGTGGTTTGCAATTAATATTTTCATTGATCTTTTAAGTATTTCTTTAAATATCTAAGTCATTAAACATGTTTACAGAAAACAGAGCAAATATCAATTAATATATAGATTTCAATTGTTCCACTTTACCAATAATAGATATTTCTCTCATCATGCTCTTAGTATTATGTACATGCAAGGTTATATTAAGTATTGGCCATCATTGTTTAATCTAATAAGTCTTATCATGCATGTAGTAATATCATTCAATACATGTACATGCATACTCATGGTATCATCAGTACAATGCAGAAGTTAAGAATATATTTGATATTCAGTTATGCATGCAGTTTTTATTAAGTGCTGTATAACTATCCGAAGGGGAAAAAAACAAAAAACAATGGCATGATAAATAAAAAATGATTGATTCTAACAGCTTCAGTAAAAACTATATAGCATTTATCACAAGTTTTTGCAATAAATGTACTAAAACCCAAAAAAATATTACCTTCTATAAGGCAGGAAGTCGTAAATCAATTCAGTACAATAAAGCAAATAATATATTTACTCATCTGTAAACTAGGAAGGATAAAAATATTTTTTTGAAGTTTTTTTTTAAAGTTTAATAGAAAAAGGGGAAAGGGGACCAGGGGATGATTTTGAAATTATGGGACTTTTTCTCCCTCCTCTAAAATTTAACTGGAATTCGGTTCATTTCAGATTATCAATGAGTGGTAGAAGTACTTAACCATGTTAAAAGCTCAATATTTGGGGTTAAAAAAGAATTGCTAGGTTTAATTAATTAATCTCATTAGTTTTAAGAGATGTCATTTATGGCAGCTTAAGGATTTTATCTAATCTCAAGAAATAATTGTTAAATGAACTTAAAAGAAGTGGGAGAAACACTCTTTTCAAAATAGGAACATAGGGTTAACCAACCATACTTACAATAATAAAAAAAAGTACAAAAACAAAAGTTTAAAAATTGGAATAAAATAAGTTGAAAAAGCTGGTAAAAATCTTAGTTTGATCATCTTTAAGACAGTTAAACACTTGGTATGTTATTTGTGATAGGTGCAAACACATAAGCATTGAATTCTACAGCTTCTTAACATATTTATAAGGGTGATCAATTTTTGCAGGTTCTGCAGTGAAAAACTGTAACCATGATTTGAATATATGGCAACTCCACAAGCTTATAGACATATAAAGGATTCTCTTTTTCTACTAAACTTGCTTTAATTTTATATACTTTTTAAAAAAGCCAGTGAGCAACCTCCAAAGCAAAAAGCTGGTGACTGCAAACCTGTCCTACAAGAAGTCCTACTGCAAAGAAACTAAAAATGATTCGACCAATATATAAAAACAAGGTATATTTCTCACACACACAAGAGTTACTGAATTATGCAGCAAGTGGCAAAAAGGAAAAAGTATAAGGGCTAATGAGTAGAGCAGTGTCATAGATTATCAGGCGTTTTTTAATTGGCTAATTGGAGCAGAGGCGGTTACCTGTCGCTGTCTAAAGACACATTGATGTCTTTGGCCGATTTGGGACCGGGCGATAATGAGAGCCGGCGGTCATTGCCATAAGGATGAAGATGATCATCTGATCTTGAAAAACAATGCATTATAATTTGTTACCATTAAAGTTTTCTCATTATAAAAATGGCATGCAAGGAGATTTATGATATTGCTTACAGTCTCCTAGGGTGCACGCACTGCAATTCACAGTGCCGCTAAGTCCTAGAAAAAAATTTGCATTGTTGAAAAAAAAAAGCACACTGTCAAAAGATACAAAACTTAATTGTTGCAAAGTTCTGGAAATTAATTTAATTTTAAATGATGATAAACAGATGCCTTGCCACAGAGTCTAGAAATAGAGAGGTGCTATACTTTATGTAGGATGTCAAAAATCAGACAATGAATATATATGATCCATCCAAAGTGAAAATCAGGAAAATGATTTCCTCAAATATTTTTAAATACTACAGCATAATAGAAAATAAGCATTATTGTACTTAATTCTTGCAAAAGTGAAAATGTAGGATTAAATAATAATGAAGAATCTGTTTTTTCTCCAGCCTCAATTGGAGCAATTGCAAAATTCTCAAGAGTGTAACCATTCAGTGATCAATGGCAAGAAACATCAACTTTTGAAATATTGAGTTTTAACATTTTCGAAACCTGGTCTAATAGTTTGAACAGCCTGCAAGAGTAAATAGCAAAAGGTTCTAGGTATTGACTGTAATCGCTGAAAAGTCAATATTTCCAAGGTATTACTAAGAAACAATTAGCAAACATTATTAGAAAAATATTTTGCAGGTAAAATATTACAATAGCCCTAATAGTTTGTAAAATTTACCAATGTCATAATAGTTAGTTTTCTTATTATATATGGATCTACATTGATTTCTTTTTAAATCCATTTTTTATTGCAAATCCATTGCACACAGTGTGAGGTGTCATAATTCTTTGATTTGGAACACATATAAATTAAACACAAAGGCCAGGAAAAAATAATATTACACACTACCATGGGTACTTACATACAGAGAAAATATCCTAAGGCCTAGAAAAAAAATATGTTTGTTTCCGCTTTCCCTACCGACCCTAATTTATAGTGCCTACCCTAAATATTTTTTTAAAGCTTTTGTCCACACAGTGTGAGGTGTCACCTTTCTATTATAAGTTAAGTCACAGTAATGCTTGAAAACACCATTTCTTTTGTCATTAATGTTACTTCTATACACGTTTTGATTAAAGAAGCAAAACAAATTTTTTCCAAAAAAAAAAAAATGCCTACCTACTAGGGATGTGCGATTTTATCGGTACATATATAAATTAAACATAAAGGTCCAGAAATTATTCATTTATTTGTTCAAAAAAAATATGTACACACTACCATAATTGATTTTATACACATAAAAAATTCAAGGTAAAATTTTGTTTTTCTTATTTTTTTACTTTTCTTATAAAATCATTGTAAAAACTGAAAATATCATGATATTATCATAATATTGAATCTTATATCGTAATATATTCATGTATATTTTTTCACTCAACAATTATACACCCATCTCTGCATCAGTAACTTGAAAGATTAATTAATTTTTTAAATTTTAAATCTAATCAAACCACTGGTTCTAAAAGTTTAGGAATATATAACATGCATAATATACCATTAAATTAAAGTTGGCAAACTAGGGATATTCCTATTCCAAAATTAAAACCTCTGTCCAAAAAACAGCATATATATAAACCAAATTGAACATAATTTCCAAAACTCAAGAACATCTTTGAAGTGAGCTTATCTTTGTAATTACACCCAAAATGCATTAAACAATCAAACTTTTATCAAGCAATTTTCAAAAGTATCTTCTGTATCAAGTTTACAGCACTGATAATTCTTTTTTTATTACCCAGTGCATAAAAATCATAAAAAAAGAGTTTTAATATATATGCTGAAAGGATCCCGAGATATACAATGTATATGAACGACCTTAACATATATACTCCATGCAACCACCAACAGTTCCACAGTGAGAGATTGCAGTGCAAAACCCTACAAGATATGATAAAATGATACCAAGAATATATATTCTCTCCCCCATTTACTGTTGAGTCATATATAGCAGTGACTTGGATATGATATAAGACTCAGATGAAGTATCAGATATACCGCTCTCTGTAGAAATCAGGGGCATCTGTAAAGAGACAGTTTATTAGGCTGCTGCTCTGTGTCCTGGATTTACAATGACTTCTTATGTTTGTCAGGAGAACAATTGGCCATTACTTACTCCTGCCCTAGCTCCTTCATGATTGATAATTATTGCGCTATAAGGAATGGTTGCTCTGTCTATCAGGAAGGTTAATAAATGGAGGAATGGATTATGATTGACAAATAAGCAATAAGAGACTGGGAGAAGTGAAGCCTGATATCCGGTTTTAGTCCACTCTATTACCAATATTGAATATAGTAGTAAAGGATCAAAACAGAACAACAATTAACCTAAAAACATATATTTAAAATTGTTCTACAAGCATCTTTTAACAATTACTCCTCAAAAATAAAAAATAAAAAATGTAAAAGACTTTCTAAAGCACTGAAATAATATGCACAGAAAATAACTCTATCGTTTAGAAATATGAGTCAAAATATTGGAAGTCTGCATGGGTCCTAAAACAAAGAAATTTGAAACAAGTCTAAAGAGACACTAACGATCACCTAGCTTCATTATAAAAAAAAAGTTTCTAAGGAACATTCAATTGTAGGAATGTGAGTTAAAAAAAAAAAATCAAAAAATGAAAAACCTGGGCTTTTGAATGTAAAGCATAAATCATTTTTGGTTAAATGTTTCAACCCCCATGGAAAATTTGGCCGAAAACATAGAATATAACAATGGTGTAACATGTAAGCTATACGTCCTCAGCACACGTAGTTCTTGACACTCTGTGCTCATGCAAAGAAACCTCTCTGTTGGTGAATACAAAAAAAAAAACAAAAGGAATTCGAGCCAAGACACTTATATACACGTTGTAACAGTTTTCAAGTGATACACTGTGTGCAATTAAAATCTGTTAATGGGTTGCTGTTAAATAGACGCTACATTGGATTTGAAAATTAACAAAGTGCCAAATGAAGCCGTCGCCTGGTACTTGACTTGAACTGCTACAGAGGAAGGTATTTCTGGCTTACCTTGATTTTTTATCAAGAGAATGAAGGCTGAGCACACTGAAACAGAAATATTATATCACATCCAGCCCAAACACATAGATCCTAATGCATCAAAATATATAGCAGTTCTCTTTTCTTCATTTTTCCTTAATATTCCTTTTGCAACAATTTGTATTATTTATATGTGTTTTTGATGCAATTTAATTCAAATGCAACATCTATTTTCACTCAAAAGATGTGTTGCATTATAATGTATATATTGGCATTTTGCTAACAATTCAAGAAAAAAAAATAGGTGTGATCTGAAAAACACTACACAGAAGAAAATTAAGTAATTAATTGTGAAGATGCTGTGTTTTTTCTCTAGGAAAAATAAAGAAATGTGTAAAATCAAGACACACAATACAAAAAATAATTTTTTTTCATCAATATGCAGTTGATGCAGCAGATAAAATATAAAAAATTCAGCATCCTTCCTTCCTCAAAATTATTTTCATTTAAAAAGATGACATGCATGCCACTTGCAGCAGCAGCAAACACAGTTGTGGAAACAATGATTTTAAGTTCTTTATAGATCCACATAGATCTCACCCTCACACCCCCTGCTACGAATCTTGAAACTTTTAAAGATAACTGAAGTGTTATTGACCGCATCAATTTTGATTTTGTTTTGATAAAAAAAATTTTTATGTACGTATGAGAAAAAATGAATAAAATTTGATATTTATATTGACAAATTAGCTATAATGTAAAGATTTTCTATGCAATAAATGATTTTGTTTCTTACAGACCACTTTGTTCAATCAACATATACATGGATATGGATCATCACAAGGTGCAGATGAAGTGATGTTACTTTATATAATTTTAGAATTTATGAAGACCTTGGACAAAATAAGTTCAACATGAAGATGGAGCTAGTTACCTTAATTTCTGCTGCTTTTCCACCTCCAACATGTGGAGTTCTTTTCCTGCCGTGGCGTGTCCAGCGAAGGACCCCCTCCTCTGTTGGTTGGTCATGATCCTGATGTGGTCCTACAAAGTGCCAGAAATAATTAAACTAAAAGTAATGTATCTGCATCTGACCATGTTGAACAAATGCTTTTTAGCTGAAAGTGGTCTTTTAGTGTAATATCGAAATTAAGATGTCAATGCTTGAAAATAACAGGAAATAAATTTTTGACATCTAGCAAATATAATCAAGATAATATAAGAAATATAGTCAAATCATTAACACAGATTTTGAAGAAACAGAATTAAGATCACTTTTCTTTTCTTTTTTTTTTTTTGGGGGGGGGGGGGCAACAAGTTACATGTAACCCTCACTTGTCAGCAATCCTTATGATAAAGTAAAGGTTTTTTTCAGGACTGTAAGAATTTTAAATCCAGTCAAAAACATGGAACAACTACATGTATAAATCGGCTCTATAGGCAAAATTCATGAACATGCACATTATGAAAACACTCCTACTGATTACTGTTCATCCCAAGCATTTCCAATTCAGAAATTAATTGCTACTTTAAAAAAAATTATATCCAGTCTGAAGAAGTGAATTTAAGATCATCAAATGATACTGACTGGAATAAAATGAATTTATACAGGTAAAGTGTAAAGCTAGAAGGATCGAAACAAGCTCTTTCAAAGTTTATGCCTTTGTGAACTTTTGCCTCATGATCAGTACTCATACATGTACGTATGTTTAACTAACAAAATTTTCCATGTAGTATTAAATATGAGTACTTTAGTGATCATTAGTCTTAGACTAGTAGATGACATGATTAATTTGTCCTTACAATCTTCCTTAAAATCAATTTTATTTAAACATCAACAATGACACACTCCAATAAAAACACATACTGAATGAATCACATTTCCAAATTTAAAAAAATTCTTTCATTTTTAAAACAACTGTTATGTGTACTCTATTTAAAATACATACGTAAAATTTAATCTTGTGTAACTATAGGGATATACGATTGCATTATGAGTACATCTTGTTTTATTGAGAATCTGATATGTACCCTCAAGGACTAATGATTTAATGGGTCTAGCTTCTAGTGCATGAAATTCAATTTATTCCTATCTACAATCAATACAACAGTTTAAATTAATTCTGTGGTAAAATAAAGACGACACAAAAGCGTAACTGACCCCGTCATATTCTTTTGTGTCTTACTGACACGCTTTGCTACTCCTTCGGCAAGGTTAAATAACCGTTTAAACTTTTTAATTACAAAAAATCTACCTGAATTGCTAAGCAAAAAAATTCTTTCCCTATATCACAATAATTGGTAAAGTACAGATTTTATGTACATATTTCAGGAAGATTTTCTTTTCTGGAAATGAGATCAGAGTGCTATACTGATCAGGCTGAAATTTCATTAAGTTGTTAATGCAAGTCCAGAAGAAATTCTTTATTAGATTAATGGGCAAAAGAAGGAAAAAAGCCATGATGCTGAAAATCTAATAATTCTTAATGGAGAATAGCACATTTCTAATTCATAACCTTGGTGGCCCTGCTCCGTTTTCTTTATTTAACCGAAAATCTACTTTGCTCCCGTCACTTGACTTGGCATTGAAAAGTTCCCTTTTAAAGGATGAAAAAGGCATATAGGTTTCTGGAACATCCCAGACTTACCATTTGTTTGGGCTCTTGAGCATCGACTTCGTTCGTTTTTTTACAACATTTATCCCTCCACCATCCATTATCAGTGGCGTAGGCCAAGAAGACAAAGAGAGGCATATACAGGAGGGTAACCCAAGCCTCCCAGGGGTCAATTACCCCAGGTGTTATGTACTGAACAGTTAAGAGCAACCAAATATAAGCCCATAGTGACCAGAAGGAGGTTAACAGAAAGACTCCAAACTCTTTGATGTATTTCGGTTCATCTCCATGTACACTGACAACACAAACAGATGTGATGATCAACAGATTGAAAGCGGCACTTCCAATAATGGTAAATGTTCCTAAAGAGTCCTTCGACGAATCATTGGAACCCAGAGAACCTATTGCCTCAAAGGTAGCTAGAAGAATTTCTGGAGCACTACTTCCTAATGCCATCAAGGTCAGGTTTGCCACTGTCTCATTCCAAATGAACACTTCCACCTCTTTCATTTCATTTTTTTCAGGGTCCCATTGTTTCACGGTTCGTTTTTTGCTGGTCAGAACCTCGATACTGTTCATGAATATATCCGAAGAAATGGCAACTCCTAAGAAAAAATAGGCCATGCAGAGCACATATAGAAGTCCCCTGACCCATTCCGGCCACAGATTTTCTGCCGGGACTAAGATCCAACTTTTACAATTCTCCGATGTATTGCTGGCCAGGTATTCCACAACATATCCCCTGTCACCGTAATCTGTTCTCAATTCATAAACCATGATGGCTTTACTTACTTACAGGTAAGAATTTGCAGTTGGTCAGAGAAGCAGAAAAAGCAATTTACCCACTCTCTCTTGTACCATTAAAATCAATTACTGTTGTGTCGAGTTCAGTTGCAAGTATTCCCATAAGAAAGGTGAAGGCAGGCTACACAAGAGGAACAAAGATCACTGCTGAGCGAGCAAACATGTTACCTATATTATATATGTGTATGGAAAAAAGCTTTCAATACAAGAAAATCTCTCCCCCCAAAAAACCTGGAGTGTTTACTTCATCTTCTGATATATATCACCACTGTGTGAAATAAAATAAAACAATTCTCCTGCTCCGACAGAATCCTGTGATAATTTCCATCAGCACTGGTAGATGCTCGCAAGAGCAGTGTTACATTGTATATATCTCTATAGCTCTGGGATAGAATAGTCTTCGGCAATTAGATAATCTTATCAGATGTAAAGAGACTACGTAAGAGATCAAATAGATTTACCCTGCAAAGGCATTGCACACTAAAGCTCAATCGGGCGTGATGAATCTATGATATTAAATTGAAGAATACCAATTTAACCTTTTAAATATTCTTATCATTTTATAATACAAGAGCTTATGGTCCCTGTTGTGGGGTGAACAACTACTGTATTTAACATTGACAGATATAATCGAGTCATTTACACGAAAATTTAAATGGAAATAGAATATCCTTTTGTTTACAATCTAAAAAATCACTGATTCTGTCAAGCATACAATGGCACTCATCTCTTTATTCTTTTAAGTGGAACAGTTTAATCAACACATCGTAGCTTAAAAACTTTAAAAAATGAGAGAGTCTATCATTTAATAATCCATAGCTACCATTGTAAAGATATAGGATTCAAGACCTTTGGCTCAGTGTCTATATAATTCAAAGATTTTTTTTTTTCTTTTGTTAAATTTATTAATTCCTGGATACCCAGAATACATGTACATTTGTTTCCTTATATAAAAATAAAAAGATGTAAAAATTTTGCAACATAAATAAGAGTACACGTTTTTTAATTTGAACGTTAAATTATGAAATTAACATGGTCTGTGGATTTGCTGTTAATCTTAAGGTTCAATAATTAAGCACTGGGCTATGGTTAACCCTTTATGAAATAGTGGCATTTCAGACAATCTTAAGGAAAGTGCCAGTTTAAGGACTTGCTGATTTACATACCACATGTTCTCAGAATTTTCACCCCATCGTACCTACCAATCTGTCAGTTACATGTGAGAATACATTTTCTGACACCTCATCAACCCCAAAACAAGCATATCTGATCAAAGAAAGTTAGGTACGTGTCAGCATTATTTACAAGTATATTATATGTTCTCCAGAGGTGGTCTTGAGTTAAATTTTCAAGTTTCAATCCATTATGTGAAAAGATATAGTGAAAACAATGCCTAGTAATGATTATGCTAAATTATAATCTACATATACCAAATCTGTATTTTGTAATTCAACAAGTTTGTTTCCTCAACCTTCCTTCTGAGAATTTTTTCACACATATTGAAATGCCACCTACTGCCAGAGGAGGGATGCAAATTTTAGACCCATGCTTGTTACCTAAGGCCATTGAGAGAAAGGAATCTTTTAAGTGCCAGCACCTACTGCAAAAAGGGACCTTGGTTTTTAACTTTATATGGTCTCATCCAAAGGACATGTGTGCATGTCCTGCTATGAATTCAAACCTAAAATGACTCTGGAGCAAGTGCTCTAATCACTGCACTATGTAGGCAATTTGTCAGCTTGTATTTAAAGTAAAGATTGATGCAAGTAAGGATATCAAAATAATGGAAACATAAATATTGCAATTGAAATAACTTTTTTTCACAGTCATAATTAATGGTTGCCATTTTCATCTAACTGTTAAAGCATTTAGGATGAAAAATAGAAATATGTGATTTTGATTAATCATTAGATAATATGATAAATGAAGAGAAGCAAATTAACCTATCAAATTCAAAATCTTTAAAATATCAGCTGTTAATGAATTGAATGAACTTTTAAATGCCTCTAACATTTAGATCAGTTTGCACTGCAGTATGGTGTTTTAGCAGTTCATGTATCCAGTGTTTCCTGATTAGTAACATCACTTAGTATTAGTTAAAAAAAGTCTAATTATGATAAGCTACTTTTGATTATTTAGTTATTAGTAAATGATCTCAAAATGATAATAAATACAAAAATATAATAATAGGAATAACATTGAATTATGTTTTTAAACCATAAAATTCAGGCAATCTTAAACCATTAATTCTTTGAGAAAACACATAAATCTTTGGACAGTTGCATCTTTACCACAGCACAATACCACAGAATTTAATTGTTTCCATTGAGTATCTATTACATCAAAAGAACTTTATATTGTTCTTCAATAAAAAATGCATATGAATTTTTTGGCTGCTATATGAATTATTGTTTAATCAGTTCATTTGCACTTAAAAGCCCACAAGAGACCACGAGCAAGTAACACCAGCTGACAATGAGGGTACAGTATGCTGTTACAGAAGGGGTTTTAATTACTTCCAACAAGAGAGATTAACAAAATCCAGTCTATCAAGAGCTTCCACATTTCTGGAACATCCAATAATGACAATGTGCACAATAACAATTTGAAGCTATTTTTATCTTAAATAAATATAGTTCCATCTGCTTTGCACTTAATCAAAGGAGTTTTCAAAGCAAAATCTGTTTCTGAGGGCCTTAACACCCTTATAATTATATTCACATCAACTAGAATATTAAAGAGAGCAAGTCCTATATAAAGGACAACTATTATTTCTAGGAGAGTGATGTTCCCGTTTTAAGTACTTTACAATCATTTTAATTAATTAATAAAATTAAAATTAATTGATAACAAGTAATTACCTGAGATCCTTCTTCATCCTCCACTTTTTTCTTCCTGCAGCATCTGCAACCATTATCCACAATATAAGACATTATGACAAATATGGGCATGTATGCCAGTGTCAACCAAGCCTCCCACGGCTCGATGACCCCCGGGGAACTGTACTTCACCACAATCAACATCCAGATGTAGGCCCATATAGACCAGGCAGCAGTAACTATGAACACACCAAATTCACTGATTCTCTTGGAATCGGGACTGGGAACACTCACAATACATATAGAAGTTATAATTAACAAATTAAAAGCAGCACTTCCTATAATTGTAAACGTTCCTAATGAATCTTCTGCCTCACTTTCACCTAATTTGAGGGCAGTTTCTCCGAGGGCCAAAATGATCTCTGGGGCACTGCTTCCCAGGGCCATCAGAGTCAAGTTGGCCACTGTTTCATTCCAGATTAGGACTTCTCTTTCTTCCGTTTCTTTCTTCTCAGGATCGAACACCATTATTTTTCGCTTTTTACTAGTTATTACTTCAATACTAGCCATAAAGATATCTGATGCTATGGCCACACCTAGGAAAAAGTACATGAGGGCCAAAATATATAAAAAGCCCCGGAGGGCTTTGGGCCATAAGTTCTCTGCTGGTAGGAGTATCCAGCTAGAGCAGGCACTTGTCCCATTGTCCAAGTATTCCACCACATAACCATTGCTGTAGTATGTGAAATGATTCACTGACATCTTGATTTTAAAATTTCATACGTCTCTGCAGACATTCACATTTGTCTCCTGAAAATAGAAGAAAAACTCAATTACAGTTTTCAATATATTTTTTTGATTATCCAATTGCTCTTGCAATATGTTATTATTAGCAACCTTTCAAAAGCCAACAAAATGTGTTTGTGAATGCAATCCCCTGGCTGACATGATCACAATATATTGCAATTCATATTTCAAGGATCTTGACTTAATAGCCTTTGCTTTCTTTTTGTTCAATGTGAAGTAACTACAGCTGAAATATTGTACATATAGACAAACAAACCAAACAAAAACAATTTATCTCCAATTTAAATTTTCAGGGAAGAAAATATATGGCAAGAACCAAGACATTGTCTCAAGCCACGGTCCGGATTCCGCATATAGCTCTCTCCAGAATGGGAGAGGATCTTAAATTCTGGCTGTGGTTTGCAACGATGGCACCAAGAATGCTTCATTGCTGAGAGCACCTTTTTGCATCACGATCTGGATAATTAAAGGGTGAATATTTCTTTTGTTATGGAATCCAATTAATTGTAATAACACTATATAATCACACACAGAAACTCATTTAGATGGGTGGGTGGGTGTGAACACAGCATCAGTCCATCTCTGTTAATAAGTACATGAACCTTTTTTTGGTATTAATTAGTATTTTTTCCAACAGTAAGTTCTTGTTAATTCTCATTTCACTTTTTAAAAAAATTTTCCTATTCAATTATCATGAATCTGTATATTTTTCCTTATTAAAATACAAAAAAATATTCTCAGACTCAGTAGGAAAAAAAACTTTTTAAAAAATTAAAATCATTAAAAAAAAACTTTAGTGATTGGGACTCAATTCAATGTATCTGTGGTATTCAAAATATTGATATTCAAGACATCAAAGTTGTACTGTAGATTCTGATCTTTACTCAAACATATTATTACGTCAAATGCCAGGGATTAGCTGTCAAAGTGTGCCAGCTAACAGGCTCAACCCTTAATTAAACAAATTTTGAAGTTTCCTTAAGAAATTTGATGCCCCCACCATGTTAAAAAAATCAACTCAGGTTTGATTGATAATGCATGTGAGGTCTATATCTGCTTTGATTTCAAAAGAAACAAGTTTTATCAATTATTGTATTTGTTTATCCTGTATTAATGCAGATTAAATTTAATCGACAACACTTTTGTTTTATTCAATGTAATCTTTTAGCCCGAGACCTGGAAAATAATAACTTGTTGTCAGCTTAAAAAAATATTTTTGTATAAAACATCAAGAAAAATCCTAGTCAGTTTTCCATTATATTTCCCCTCTGCCTTATTAAATTTCCCGAGCACCAGGGGAGATAAACGGAGAACAAATATACCAGTATATATAAACTGATTATATGAAGTCTTACAGATGCTTAAATAAACTGGTACCTGCATCCCTCTCATAAACATTTATGTCTTCCATACACTTTACAAGTATAAAGTGTACTACAATTCAATTACATAGCAATAACTGCTCTGGGGAACTCAATAAAATACAAACAAAACAGAAATCACTTGGAGATGATTAGATTCATTCTAAATACAACATCTGTTTCTAAAACAAATTCACCACACAGAGGAACAATAGAAGTAAAAAAAAAATAATTAAAGGTTGGTCGTGCAATTAAAAAAATACAAAAGGGAAAATTAATTAATACACCTGCAGTCTTACTTCAAAAGACGGATAAAAAAGATTCAATCACAATATTTTGCATGAATGAAGACAATGAGATATTAGAACACATGCTTTTCTTAACTCAAGA